TCTGGCCGTTCCTCACTTTAGCCCCCCTCACTCTAGCTCCCGGCCAGTGTTGGACAAGAGTCAGGAAAATGTATTTGTTTCAGTTTTTCCCCAAGGTATATTAGTTTTTATTTTTATTTCAGTTAGCAGAAAATGTTTTTATTTAGTTTGTTTTAGTTTTTGTTAACAATAATAGCACTTTACACAAATGTGTTTTGATCAGAGAAAAGTGTTTGGTTTTTTGTTTACTTTGTTTTCCATTTTCACGTTTTGTGTTGTATGGTTGTTGTTTTTTCCTTCCGGTTTTCAGTTTTTTCAACAACAACAAAAATTTATTTTTTTTTGTTCAGTTGATTTAGGTTTTTGTTTTATTTGAGATATTTTAGGGCTGCCAAAGTTAATGAGCAATCACTTAAAATGTTTAGCTGTGTTAAATTTCAGTTTTATTGCTGTCTAGTGGCGTTTTAAAGTTTCATGCAGACAGATTAATAAGTTAATAATACACCATCAAACTTTCTTTTAAATTTTTAGAGTCATGAAATGTATTTTAGTTTTTTTCCCAGTTGTATTAGTATTTGCTTTAAGCTAATGAAAATGTTTTAATTCAATATTAGTTTACATTTTTATAATATAACAGCAATAACAGCAGTTAGCATCCATGCATTAGCTCAATGGTAAAACTTTGAACCTTCATTTCAGCCTCCACCTGCCCAAATATCTGTCTGTTTACTGAAATCCTGTGTTTCTGCAGATGGCACATGTGCAAAAACCTGTAAGGAGGGTTTTTATGATGACATGAAGCAGGAGTGTGAGCCGTGTCACCGCACATGTCGATCATGTGGTGGTCCGGACGATAACGACGGCGATTCCTGTGAAGATGACATGCTTCTGGATAGGGGTCAATGCATCAGCATTAGCAAGATCAAGTGTCCTGACGGAAAATTCCTAAACGGTACAAAATATTCATTTCAATAAGTCATTATTTTAATAAAGGTAAACATGAGTTATATTATGTTGATTTTAAAGACTTTGCAAATCTTTTAAAACAAGTCTGATTCTTTGTTCTCTGATTTTGTGTTTGTGTGTGCAGGTCAGGGTGAGTGTGAGCAGTGTGATTCCTCCTATAGGACGTGTTCAGGGCATCGGAAAGACCGCTGTGATTCCTGTCATGAAGGTGAATTTCAGTAGTGCCTCCAGTCTACATATTTCTCATATGCAAGTGCAGAAAGATATTATAGATATACTAGTAATCTTTGTCCAATGTTGAGAGCTGGAATCTATATGCATGTTTGTATGTCTACACGGGTATGTTTCTCACCAACAGCCAGCTGTGTGTGTCCGTTTGTCCAAATGAGACTCATAGAAACCAGACAAGTGGGCGCTGTGAAGACGCTGTTTGATGTGTCAGGGCGCACATCACTGTCTGAAGTGCAAAAATGCCTTTGATCCACTCTACCTGCAGGACGGCAAATGTGTTGCTGAGTGTAAAAGGTGAAAAATGTTCTTTCAAAACACAAAAAATGCTACATGTTCAAACGCATGGTCCCACAGGCTGCGTCCCAGATTGCACTTACCATTGTAATTTTTTAAATGTTTGTTTTATTTTATGTTGTATTTATTTTATGTTGTATTTATTTTCTTTAATAACATTTTCTTTTATTATTTTGTTTCTTTTTCTTTTCTTTTTCCTTTCTCACATTCTTTTTCACTGCGCGCACACAAACACAATATGTGCCATTACCAACGAGGTACCAA